CTCAACCTGCTGCTGTGAAGCAGGATTCTCCACCATGAACAGAATCAGCAATAAATATGATCCAGGCTCAAAATGAGCTCCTTTATATGTGCTTTAGAATGGCTTTGTCTCCATTCAAACCCAGGTTTAAAACCTTGCAGGGCAGCATAAAGCCCACTGCGAACATTAAGACAGAAAAAAGAAAGAAAAAAATACAAATGGTCAGTTCAGGTGTTTTAATAAAATATGTGAATGTTGGAATAATTATGTATAAGATACTTAATGTTTGTTCTTATGATGTATAATGTGTGACATATTACTGTTCCAGAGAGGTGTTGCACAAGCAGTATAGGTCAACTCATAGGTCAGGAAGTATTGCTCAAGCTTAACGAAACCAGGAGGTTCTCTGACCATTTGACCGCAAGAGATTTAAATGCAAATTGACCTGTTCTCTGAGGCTGCAAATTGAATTGTATTTCTTGTTTCCTATTCCTTTAGTGCAACCTCAGCTTGTGTATTTAGGGACCCTCCCCTCTAACTTTAATAAATAGCAAGGAGAAAGCTGAAGACCGGCAGAGTGGGGTGAAGATGTACCTGCATGGTCTCTTCCTTCTCTCCTCGCGAGTAAAAAGAATTCTGACTCTGTGCCTTTCTTTCCTTGTTTTACAGTGTTTTAGGTGTTAGACCTGACAGTGAATCAGGAAATTGTCTGTATACCAAATTGAACGATTGTTGTTCTCTACTTCAAAAAACACTTTAGATTTAAAAATGGAAAAGTATTCTATTTTTTGTATTTTTTTTTATTTTAAAAGTCAAAGTATAACATGGATGCATAAACACTTCATTTTATTTCAGTGCTAAATTCTGTTTAAAGTAACAGATTATAATTAACAATGTCTCTGAGCCTTTACTGGTTGTTGATTTTCTTTATTCGATCCCAGCTGATTTTTTAATTGATTACCCCAGATTTAGATGATTCAGGCTTACGCCGTTGTGAAAAACTAAATTTTAGCTTCTCAGCACATTAATCCTTTCCTATTTCCTTAAGAATTGTTATGTTACAACCTAAAACACCATCAGCTGACTCCACAGATCTCCATTCATTTAGTTCAAGTGTTTACAGGTTGGTGGTTCTCCAGGGTTGGGGACTTACACTCTAAACTGGGATAGTGTTTCTGTTGGTGTCAGAACAATTTATCATCTATTCTGGAGTCTTTATTATCCTAAAACCTCCTAACGTGTTGCTTCAGAGACAAAAGTGTTTTAAACCCCTCTTGTTTTGTAAAGGAACAAGTTTAATAGTCCAGCTCTGCAGCACAATGACAAACAGAAGCATGAAAACAGTTTTATCTTCTGTCGTCAGCGTCTCTATCAGTGAGGACAGCTGAGGGAGGAGACACAGATCAACCGACCTGATGAGTTCTGAAGAACTCTATTGGAAGCGTGAAACTTAAACCACCACCAGAATATCAAACAGCACAGAGAGCAGTCTCTCCCTGGCAGCATCAAGAGCTTTAGGGTTTTGATTCTTTGAATCACACATAAAGGTCTGACCATTTCTCTGAACACACTGAGCTGCAGATATTGTGCCAACATGTTCTTCCTTGTAGGACGAATTCTTTCAGAGCTCAATCCGAATTAAGGAGATTAAACTTTAGTAAGAAAGCTGTTTTTGGTCAACACTGCAGGTCTGTGCATTGCTTTCCTTATGCTTATATTAAATTCACAAAAGCAGTTTGAGGCTGAAGTTTCTCTGCAGCTGTTTCTAGTCACAGACAAACTGACATCTGAAAGCTGAACCCCAGAATGAAACCGATCTGATCTCATAGTTTCTTGTGTCTTTCACCCCCTAAAATAAACAAAAGAATGGAGGAGGAACAAACTCACATCCCGTTTGCTGCTGGAGCTCCTGGCCGTTTGGGACGTTGTTCAGGCTGGAGCTGCTGGAGCCCATCTTGCTGCCTGCTGTTCTCCTTCTCCAAGGCTTTCTGCAGCTGTTTGCTCAGTTTGAAGGGAGGGGTTTCTATATTCCACACTGACCACCCCCGCCCCCCCAGATCCAGAACAACAGACATGCTGCTGAGCCAATCAGACCTCAGTCTCTGCAAACAGACCCGCCCTAACACTCTTCTAAAACCAGTAGAGTATGTGGCAGAAGATGAATTATACAAACCTACTGTAATGAAAATAATACATAAATAAATAAAGATCTTGTTTTTGTATCTATCAAAAAGCTTGATGGATCACAGCATGGCCTGGCCCCTGAAAGAGAAAACTATTATTATATTTAAAACTTCATTTAAATAGAGCTTTTCCAAACATAAAGATCACAAAGAGCTTCAAAATCAATCCCAAAAGTTAAATAACACCTTCTGACAAAATGAAGAAGGCAAAAGATCACATAAAGCAACACATGGCTGCCTGATCTAAACAAATTCAAGACTGAGGAACCAAGTTCCCGAAATTCATCAGAATCATGATCCATACATGTAGAAAACATGGAACAACCAACCAGAATTACTCTAAGAGATCATCAGCGACTCATCCAAGAAGTCCCAGATGAACCCAGAACAATATCTGGTTCAGATTAGAGGGACTGGTTTGAAATGGAAATTTCCAACCAGAACCCCTGCTGACCCAAAAGAACACAAAGACCCACCTTTTGGATCAGAAACATAGTGACGAGGTCACATCTGTTGGTAAACTAGCAGCAACAGCATGGTGGAGGTGGTGTGATCCAGGGGCGCCTCTAGAAATGTTTCATAGGGGTCGCCAGATGGGGCCTCTTAAATTCTTGGGGTGGAACAAAGAAATTTCAGGGTTTTATTCTACTGCGGTGGTAAAGCTGCCTGTGGAAAACCCTGAAATTATGTTTCTTTGTTCCACCCCAAGAATTTAAGAGGCCCCATCTGGCCACCCCTATGAAACATTTCTAGAGGCGCCCCTCGATCACACCACCTCCACCATGCTGTTGCTGCTAGTTTAGCAACAGATGTGAC